GCTCTGTTGTTTACCTGTGTGTGGTACTGCACCATTGTGACGTCTGGCATGGGCTACATCCTCCTCATCCAGCTGCTGAACATCAGCTACAACGTGACTGAGAGGGAAGCTCGGATGGCTCTCCGGGACAACACCGGGCGTCGGCTTTTGGGTGGGTTGGTGGTAGATACGGGTCAGTATAACCGAGGTTTCCTATGCAACTGGGGCCAGTTCTTGAGTCTGGGGTCACCTGCCCCACTGCGCTCTGCTGAAGACGTCGTGTGAATGCGGTCTGCCTGCGGATCACGTTGACTTGCGGTGGAAGCGAATGCTGCCTGCCTTCCACTGGGCTCCCAACACCATTCCATTCTGGGTTGACTTGCGGGCTGCTCATATCATCAGCATCTAAAGAGGCACTGAAAGCCAGATGTGTCTCGCAGGCTGTCAGCTAGCAGCAGGTAGCGTAACCAGTTAAGCCATACACACACTGTGGGGGGTAGGGAAGAAGACACCGTCCTTCCTTCCTGCTCGTCTCCATCATAAAGAGATTTGTGCACAGGGTTCACCAGGCTGGCACAGGACTCGGAGAGCCTGGGCTCTGGCAGGTCTGCACTCATGTAACAAGATTGATGCCATCCAGTGCTGTATTTCAAGGCCTCATTGTAGGGGTCAGAATGAAGTCCCTTACTGTTCCTCCCACCCCTTTTTCACCCACATGCAATATTTTGCAGCTGAGCGGATGCCTGGAGCCAAGAGCAAACCTGCCCACTGTTGGGGTTGGGGTTTCAGATAGCTTGGAGGATATTTAAAAAGGGCACCATCTAGTGGTAACTTTTTTTCCTGTTGGACCCCTCCCTTCTCTCTTGTGCATCGTTCTCCATCTTTCCTTCCATCCATCAGTGTTAGTGCTTCTATTAAGTGCCTTTGTGAGCAATACAACTCTAGGGTTGTCTGAAACCATCTCAGCTCTTAGCCTGCCAAAAAGGTGTTATTCCATCCTTGTCTCTGACAGAGTGAGAAGGGAAGACTGGTCCCATTGCATGCAACAGTCCTTTCTCATCTCTGTGGCTCTCTGGGGAGACTGAGTTAATCCCAGGGCTTGACTTGACTTCCTTGAAATATTTTTAGCTCCGTTAGCAACTTCAGCCATCAGAGACCTGTTAAATATTTTCCAAGGAGGAAAGCTGTTAGTTCCTAAGTAACTTAGTAAGTAGTATGTTGTAGCTGTAATGGACCAGGGAGATGACAGAAGCAAGATTTGTGACATGAGATCATATCTTTTCTTGGCCCACCTTGTAGAGATGGGAAGATGACATTTTAGGCTAGAAGTGTCACATCAGGACTGGCAGAGCAAGTCACATTCCAAGCTAAGGACAAGCAATTAGAATAATTGCTTTAGTTTAACCAAATTTGGTTAATGATTTTGACCATTTGAAAAGGAGAAGGGTGTTAATCAACTGTGGGCCACTTCCCTCAGGTGGTCAAGTTTATGAACAAAATTCTTCTAACATGCTTTCAGTTCTTAGTTCCCCCTTGGAGCGTGACTGCCTCTTTCCCAGACATGATGAAGTTTGCATCCTATCTCTTCCGAACTGTATCAGTAGGTGTAATAAGTAGCTCTGGAGAGGAGGTGGCCTCTGAGATGGGCAAATAGTCCCTCGCCTGATGATGCTACTGCCTTTATAATGACCTCTGTCCTTGTCAGGAGGAAGTGTGTGTGGGGTGGGGGGGGGGGGTTGGGGTAAACTACTCTTGATTAGTATCATTTTGATCCTTCTATTCTATGATTTCTGGTAGATGGCTCCCCATAGAAATTCTGCATTTTGGCTCCTTCTCTTCCATTCATTAAGAATTTTGTATGGGTCCTGGTAATCAACCTGTTTCTCAAAGGAGTCAGAAAGGTGAGAACAGAGTGATCCCAAAGGCAGGGGCTGAAGGAAGGACCCCAGAGGAGGCACCTGAATGAAAATACCAGCTCAGTGTGGTGCTAGATGATCTGATGTCTTGTTTCACCTGCACTTCCCTGGGCTCCTGTTTCAGGCAAAATTGGTGAGCTGGTGTGTTTTCAATCAGTATGTATATGTTTTATGAAACACCTTCATAATTTGGGATACATGGCTGGAAAAGCCCAGGACTTTGAGAGCAAAGCAGTACTAATGAGCAGAGCTGGGATGCAAAAGTAGAGATGGGAGGAATTTTGCTCTAATTACCAATAAATGTCCACTCCATTACTTAGTTATCTGTGGTGGAAGATAGTGTGGGGCTGCTTGGAGGCTGGAACTTGGCACATGAGGTTGTCCCTTCCAAACAGCTGGTAGAGGCCTTTGGCAAAGAATGTGGAGGGCCAAGTTTGTCTTACTACTGTAACTTTGGCCCCCAGAACTGTCAGCCCAACACCTTTCACAACCATTGTACGTACTTGCAACACACTGTCTAAATTAAGTTGAAATAATGACTCTTTGCACTGTTCTATTCTTTGTAGCAGCATGTGTGCTTTCCATAATGCAGAGGTAATTAGTGAGTCTTAGGGGACTGCTGCGCTTGGAGCCCAGAGATGTGGAAAGAGCTTTTATTTGATTTGCTTTTTTGTGAATAGTTCTTTGTGGGAGGGGATGGGGGATCCTTGCTTCTTTCCTGGGACTGGGGATGACCCAAGGAAAGTGGAGACTCCAGCCCCCTGCTGATCCCTGATGCAAAATGAAGATCAGTTGCATGTCTCGTGTTAATCCCTCCAGCACCTAGGAGGGACTCGGATTTCATCTGGGAAAGCCCAGGGTCATACTTGCATCAAAAGCTTTATGTCCATGCTAATTAGCTGCAAGTGTTTCCATAGCAAGAATGTGTATAGAGGGGCCTGCTGGGATATGCTGAAATCAAGGGGGAGCCTGTAGGGAGGGGAATCTTTATGGCACTGCACTCGACAGCAGGACAGTAATTTGGCACGCCTCTCTCCTGTTGGGACTTTGGAAAGGCTGGAGAGATGGGTGCCTTCTGAGCCAAAAATTAAAAAGCACTTGAAGCAGCATAGTTTAGAGCACAGAACTGGCGGGGGGGGGGGGGGGGTGCTTCCCTCCCCTGCTTCAGGCTTCTCTCAATCAAGTGAGGGAACCGGTGTGCTGGTTTGTGTTTATCAGCATCCTTTTGTAGTGGGAATCGGAACTGGCTGGACACAGCCTGGATTTTTGCAGCAGCAGATCTGTGGACTCTGTGTGGAGCAAAAAGGCCATAAATTGCACCCTTTTTTTTTTTTAATGGCCATCACCTTGTTTACAATCCAAGCCTTCCTCTTGGAAGATTACCTCATGAATGCATTTTGGAGCTGGAAAGCACAGTCCAAGCAGGAAGCGCTCCGTTTGAATAGGCAGAAGAATGTGGCCACGCACTGCAGACTTTGCATTTCTGATTGTTGGACCTTCCTTTGAATACCCACAGCTATTAGCAGCAAGTCAACGAAGGGTAACTGCCTCACAACGTTGGTAGGGATGGTGGACTGTCTTGTGTGAAGAACGTTCTGTTTTACTCGTCTTGTCTTGCTTGACCCCACATGGTCTCACTGGTAGCAGAAAGCTAATATCTGGTACGGTACTGTGGGATATAAGGGATTGGCTTGGGGTCTGGGAGGAAAGGGCAGCAGCATGAAACTTACAGCCTGTTGGAGCGCTGTGGTGTGGTAAGCTGGTTGGGGAGGAGGTTGGCTGGACAGGTGAGCTCCAGGTTGGGCACTCTGCTGAGATCAACTGATGTTCAAGTGGAAGCTCCTCAAGGCTAGGTCATGCTTTTTGTCTGTGAAGCATCATGCATACATGTATAGCAATGAAGAAATATAGTCCAGGCCCTTCAGAGTTCTTCCTGTGCAGTGGCAGACTTTAAAGTCATTCCAAAAAAACCCCCCAAACAAACCAGGGAAGGACTTCAGCCATTTATTTTTTTCCCCATCAAAATTTTGGAATGTCTGTTTTATCCCCCCCCGCTTTTGTTCTCCTTTGAGGCTTCTACTGTTACTCTGTGGTGGGCATTGTGCAGGCCAGGGTGAACCTGAAAGAGCCAAGGCTCTCATAACCAACATACATATCTGCACAGAACCAGCAATCACCCAAAACACACCAAAAAAGCTGTGATATACAGCCAAGCCCTCAGATACCACCGCATCTGTACTGAAGAGAACACCTGGGATCGCCACCTCACCAATCTTAAAAAGGCTTTCACCCAGCAAGGACACTCCTCCAGAGAGGTAGATCGCACGTTTGAAAGAGCCACCTGGATACTACGTGAAGAACTGCTGCAGTACAGAAGAAAACCCCCCACAAATCGCACACCGCTGGTTATGACCTATCACCCATCCCTTGAACCTGTACGGAAAATCCTCAAACAATTGCAACCCATACTAGAAAAAGACCCTATTCTTAAAAAGATCTTCCCAGAGCCACCCATCCTAGCCTTCAGACAAGCACCGAACCTCGCCAACCTCATCACCAGAAGCAAACTTCCTCAAGCCCAGAACACACCAAAAGGATCCAGACCGTGCCAGGACAAGAAATGCAAAACCTGCCCCCACATCTCCACCACCCCCACTATTACTACACCCCACAACAGAGCCATCAGCATCCCAGGATCTTACAGCTGCACCTCCAGGAATGTAGTATACCTCATCCAATGCACCAAATGCCCTGATGGCAGATATGTAGGAGAGACCAGACAACAACTGCGCACCAGAATGAATGCACACCGGAAATCCATCAAAGACAGAAATACCCAATTACCGGTGGGGGCACATTTCTCACAGGAGGGCCACTCTCTCTCCAATCTCTCAGTCCTGATCCTCAAGGGAAACTTACACAACACTTCCCAGAGACGAGCCTATGAGCTCCATTTCATCAACCTCCTGGATACTAGAGATCATGGACTAAACATAGACATTGGATTTTTGATACATTATAATCTGCCTGGCAACTGACTCCCCAGCCCAGCCCAGCCCCTGGCTTCTTTACTTTTCATTCCATCCAGGAAGAGCACACACCAACTGCTGCAGCTTCCTGAGCCTGACGAAGGGTTTTTGAACCCGAAAGCTTGCTTAATAACTATTCTCCAACCATTTGGGTTGGTCTAATAAAAGATATCAAATTCACCCAAGGAACCTTGTCTGCCAAGGCTCTCATAACACTCGCCTACTGTTGTGGTATCAAACCCATGCACAAATACTAGTGCCCTATTTGGTGAATTCAGTGCTGCTGATGCACTAGCTGCATGTTGCGAGCGATAACTTGGCATTCTGCCTTAACTGTGTCTTCTCAACCATGTGTTTGTTCTGTGTAGACACTCTTGTAGACCAGTCCTAGAACTGTCGGTAACCCATCCCCACCACTTAACCTTTAGGGGTATTTTTTTTTTTTTTTCAAATGACTGAAGTTACTGCTGATCAAGAATTGCCACTGCCAGTGATTCTAAACACATTTCTGCCTCCATGCTGTAATGGTGCTTTTATTTTTTCAATGTAGATTGTTTCAAGTGTCTTAACCTTTTACAGCAAATTTTTTTTTTCTCTAGAGTGGATACTGCCTCACTGCCTAGTATCTTAAGAAAGTCATTGAGTATATGATTCTCTATGAATGTATATTGCCTTATTAGGGCAGGAAGCATACATGCATTTGTGTATGTGTGTTTTTGCGTGCAGTCATGAACAGTTCCTTCTACTGTTTTCAGTGAAGCTTTCGGCTCCCTAAGACTTTCTTCCAGCCCCAGAATGCTTGTAAAGCGATGATCCTGCAAGAAGCAGATGAGGTTCTTCCTGAAATTGCAAATTGGACTTCTCAAGAGCTTGTGTCTTTATGGAACTGTTTTTAATGATACAGTGAAGGATACAAGATCTAAAAAAAATTGTTTCTATTTAAGAGTGTGTTGGGTAGGTTTTTTCATCCCTAGGTTTTGGGAGGAATCCTAACATGAAATGCTGTACTTGTGAGCTTTATTGAAAGAAGTGTTATGCGTCCACTTCGTAACATGGCCAGCATGTTGAGATGGATGCAGTTCTGATTTTCAAATAAACAGTTATCTATTATCTATGGCATGGTCTTGGTTAATATATCCTCTATTGCAGGGGTCAGCAACCTATAGCTCACGGGCCAGATCCAGCTGGTTTCAGCAGCAAGGGACTCTGCTCATGCTGCAGCCAGGCTCCTGGGCCTTGATAGAAGGGGAGTTCTCCCTGTGCTAAAACACGGCAGGGGGGAGTAACAGTGGTGGCCAGGTCCAAGTGCTTGTTCATCTCGGACCCAAGTGGGGTCATTCTGGCCCCCTGCCGGAAAAGGCTGCTGACCCCTGCCCTATTGCCTTACAAGGCAACTGCATGCTTCAGGGCAATTCTGCTGTATTCCAAAAACCTACATTTCCATTTAGGCTCAGTAAAGCCAATGGTGACTGAAAGTTACTTACTGGCCTACGGTATTTTCAACTCAAGAGGTAATTTTTAGAGAGAGAGAGATTGGCTGGTATGTTTAGAAAATAGGAATTCTACTTAATTTTTTCCTCAAGTTTTAGTTTTTGGCTTTGTTTTGCATTAGAATAAAACTTGGGTGTTTGTTTTTTTTTTTATTACAATTTTTTTTTTTGGCAAAGATTTTTTCCAAAATATAGAGTCTGTTACCATGGTGTAAACAGGTGACTAGAGTACTTGCCTGGGATGTGGATTTTCTGAATGACAGCATGGTCCTGAACCTGGGTCTCCTATATCTTGGGTGAGTTAATTCCTTTTGAAGGTTAAAGTTACTAACAAAGGGAAGATAAATGGGGACTCACTTGTGCTCATGGCTAGGCACAGGTTGTGCAGTCTTTATAGCTGTATCATGGAGGAACCTTTAATCTAAACTGAATTCTCCGTATGTATGATCTTGAAGATAGTATGGCATTTCTTTCTCATGAAAGATATGGAGAGGCCTAAAGGCCAAGGCCAGGTGTAGGGCACTTGCCTGGGTGATAAAAGGGACAGGCTCAGCTCTGGTTGTTATGCCTTGAACTTGGCTACCCAGCCTATAAGACTGTCTTGAGGGGAATTCAAAAGAAATTTCCTTCATGAGCATATAACTTGAGGATCGTTGCACCTGAGTAGATTAGTCCCTCCAATGGTTCAATTTTTTTAATGAATTTTTCAGACAGGCATTTTTAGCCTGGCTTTTTACCAAGCGTCCAATGGACAGCTGGCAACCCTGCAACCTAGGGGACCACTTGCAGAGGCAGGGGGATCACCTGACTCCTTCCCTGCCAGTATCAGCCCATGTGACCGACCCATAGCACCTCCACAGCCCACCATTGCGAACCACTGCTCTAGAAGATTGGTTCTTCACTCAGTTTTAACTCCTGTGTTATAGGCTTATTTCAACTAGGTGGTTACATGCAATAGTAAATCCTGTGAAATAGCTTCTAGTTAAAAGCCTTTAATCAACAAAAGGCCAGCTGTATTCAGGGCAAACATGCTCAAATATAGCCTCAGTGGGGAGCCTAAGCTTTAGCATGAGCTGTACCGGGCGAATTAAAAGTGCAATTTGCCCTGTCCTAGGCTAGAGGTCTAGGTGTTAGACTTTCATAGCTGAATCCTCCTCCATATGCATCTTTAAATCCAGGCTAATTTGAACAAGCTTCCTGAGGAACCAGGAGTCTTACCTACATTAGCACAACACTCCATGCAGGATATACTAGCCCTTGTATACATGGCACCGCTCTGACATGGCTACGTTGCTTCTGGGACTGAAGCAGCTTGTTCAGAGCTAGCTCAGGTACCTCTACATAACACTGCGCTGGGCTATAGGGTCAACCCTCAGTTAATTACCATAATTTCTACACAAGTGCTGGGTGGCATGTATAGAATTATGTTAGCTGTCATAAAGGGTACCGTTTTCCTCACCCCAGACCCTGTGTCTACAGGTTTTAGCAGCTCTCCCTCATGGGCTAGGTTCTGTGCAGTTCCACAGCACAAGGGCTGTTCAATGACACTGCTGTCTTGGATTGTCAAAGGACTCAGTTTATTTATCCTTGCATACAGCCACAGCGTGTCACCTCCATAGAGGATATGGGCTACAGAAAGGTACCCAGGACTCTGCTCCAGGATATAAAGGCACGTTTTGGTTCTGGGCTGGCTTTTCCTTAGGGCAGATGTTTGAGTCTCACTTCTACAACCAGAGTCTAACTACAGCAAAAACAATCCCCATGTGGACTGCATTTCAGCTGGAATTTATCCCGCACAATGTCTTGCTACCTACCAAGCAAGGTGTTGCTGTTCTATTGTGGGGCTCAGAAGGCAGAAAGCAAAGCCAACAGCCTGGTTGCCAGCGTTACGCTCTGTCTGGAAACAGAAGCACCAGAAAGAGGTTCTGGTAGGTTATCCATCAGCCTACCACCCCTCCTGCCCCACATGGGGAAGAGCTTGGGTCCCTCAGATATGAGCTTGCACCCCTACAAACACAGCCTTCCTCTTGGGTTTGTTCTGCTCATCATAGAAGCTGCTCTTCTGTCCCCGTTCTGCCCTAGTTTGTCATGTGCAGAAGTCGGGGAGAATTTCAGCGACTCTCCGCCGCAGCTGCTCCCTCCTTGCCTCTTTCTCTCTTTCCTCCTTCATCAGGGCTGGGTATTGTCTCCAGGCATGGAACATTGTCAGAGTCATTCTCCTTTGAGAGACATAAAAATAGAAAGAACGGAAATGAAATGGGGGTGGGGGGTGGGAGTGTAACGGATGGTCTCCTCATGCCCACAGGCATCAAAAGCCTCTGCTCTATCACAGTTTATCCATAGTTCTTCCCATAAAACACAGAAAGGATTAATCTCTATTGCTACAGCTAGGGCAGTGAGAGGTTACAGCTATCTAGTGCAGGTGTCTTAATTGTACCTGTCAGTCATTCCAGAATAATAATGTACTACTCTTCTCAGTCACCTGTCCTCAGAGGACCCAGCTCACCTTTCCAGCTGGATTCATTTGACAGTGTTTGTTCAGTGCTCTGAAGAGAGGATGCTACAGAAAGGCTAAAACAGGTCCTATAAAGTGGAGGGGGCAAGAAGGACAACCTTTCTTAATGTAAACTGCTTGCTAACAAGCCCACGTACTGTCCCTTGGCCTGGGTCCTTCTCCACACCTCCAGTTTACTATGCCTGTTACACTGATCCAAGCACCTTCTTAACTCTACTTATTTAGCCATGTAAATCCACCCTGACGTTGAACTGAGAGTGCTCTTCATTGACAAACAACACATGTTTTGGTTTCCCTGGCTTGTCCCAGGACCCAGCAGTGATGGAGCTTGTCAAGGGTGATCCTATGTTTACTATTGTATTTAGAGGGTGTAGACAGATATGTTAACATTGGTGTAACCTAAACTGGTGTAAAAAAACAAAACAATGTCAGTTATGGTGATGTCCACAGCCAAGAGGTGACCAGCTCTTCCCAGGTAGTTACCCACAGCAGGCAGTAATACAGTACCTTGCTACTAGGGGCAGGTAACTACCACCCTGTTTGCATCACGCAAATGGCTACCATGGAACAAAATTGACCAGAGCTGGAGCTATGCCAGCGTAACTTAGGTTGCTGTATCATTATTCCGGACTCTGAGTAACTCCCCCAGTGTAGATTGATTTACACTGGTGTGGGACTGTACACTATGTCTATTCCATATTTACACTGGCCTAAAGAAAGACTACACTAGTGTAATTGTGTTATGTATCTGCACATAGAAAAGTGAGTGTGATTCTACATCTCTGCTCTGTATGGTCTTTGGCACTGGACAGGTAAAATACTTAAAATCAACCTAATCAGTATTATACTAGTGTTTAAAAAAAAAAAAAAAAAAAAAAAAGCAAAAGATGCAAACCTCTAAACTTGGGTAACTTTCCCCTGAAATAATCAGGATAAATCTTTACTACTATAAGTTATACCACTTTGGATGCTGTCAGTCCACATCCATCCTGGAGTAGCTCTTTGCTACAGGTAACCAAGCTGTTAGCTCATCTGCCCCTGAGTGGCAAAGCACAATAACAGCCACCTATTGTGTGCATTACCCTGGGATCTATGCACATCTGTCTGTTCCTAATCCAAGTGTAATTCAGATGTGTATATAAAAACAATCGAACCTATAAAGAGGTATGTGTTAGTCTCTCATGGCTGTTTACATTTTGTTACAGCCAGTAAAGCAAACAGCTCAGGGCACAGACAAACTAAGCTGTGTCTATTCAGCTTTATCATTAACAAAGCCATTATTTCAGATTCCTTTGCAGAATCATGTACTGGCAGAATCGAGTAAGAGCAGAAAAGGCAGAGAGAATCAGCTGGATTCTCAGATTGCAAATAGAGATTACAGCTAAGCACATTTGCATTTGTAAACTGGGCCTATTTCAGCCTAGAACGTTGCTGAGTAAGACCAGTGCTGGAGATCACATAATATTATTCCTTGACACATTCTAATGCTGCTTTAAAGATTCTCTAAAATAGCTTTTTAACAGGAGCCATGCAGCCAAATCTATTAGTGGGCTTTAAAAGGCTTAACCATTTACTTCCTGCTGCCTTTTCCAGCAAATTCAGAACTGCTGGAAAGGGCAAGGGCCACTCCCTCCACTCATCTGCAGGTGAAGCCTCACCTGAGGCAATCACTGCTACTGGCAATTCCAGGCAAGTCATAAGTAGGGCCCTGAGAAAATTGTGGATTTCTCATAGAAAATTCATGGCATGTGCATGGCTAAAGTATAGTTTTTTTTATGGAATATTCACGAAACTACACTGATCTTGGCAAATGGGTCCCGGTAGTTCCGTGAATATTCTGTGAAAAAAGATACTTTAGCCACGCATGTGCGGCAGGCATGCACACCATAGGCAGCAGAAGGTCAGGGCTAACAGGGCTTAGCTTCCCCCAAATGCAGGGCAGTGGTGGCAGTGCAGAGGGCCACAGGGCAGCCCGGGGGCACAGGCTCTGGGCAGCTGCAGCAGTGGGGGTGGGGCGTGCACAGACATGGAGCTGGGATCACAGCCCAGCAGTGTGTGGAGCAGCACCCACCACAGCAGGCAAGTCTGTGAAGGGGAAGGGGTGTGATGGGGGGGCAGATTAAGGGCCCCACTGTGAGGGAGAGTGTGGAGCAGGGGTGAATGAGGCCCTGGGTGGGTTGTGAGAAGGTTGGAGCCTGGGCAGCTTGTCTGGGGTGGGGGAGAGGCTCCCACCCCTGCGCATGCCCTAGGGTAGGCACAGGGGGCACATACCCACAGGGTTTGTGTGGGGAGAGGATGGGCTGCTGCTGTGAGCTGGGCTCTGCGCCCTGCTGCCACTGCCTCGGAAGCTTTACGAGCACTCATGGTGCTCTAGCGAGGTGCCAGAGGACTGGAAGAGGGCCAGTGTGGTCCCCATTTTCAAGAAAGGGAGGACCTAGTTAGTCTTACCTCGGTCTGGGGGAAGCTCTTCAAGAAAGTTATCCAGGAGCACATCTGCAAGGGACCAGCAGGGGAGTGTATGCTTAGGGGCAACCAACATGGGTTCATCAGGAGCAGGTCCTCTCAGACCAACCTGGTGGCCTTCTATGACCAGGTCACAAAATCCTGGGATGCAGGCATCGTGGTGGACGTAGTCTTTCGGGACTTTAGAAAAGCCTTTGACACTGTCTCTCACCCCATTCCCATTAAAAAATTAAGCGACTCTGGTGTCGAGCCCTAAACAGTCAGATGGGTTGCCAACTGGCTGGAGGGCTGTACCCAGAGACTGGTGGTGGATGGGTCTTATTCAACCTGCAGGGAAGTGGGCAGTGGGGTTCCACAGGGCTTGATCTTCGGGCCCGCATTGTTCAACATCTTCATCAGCTTCTTGGATGAGGGGGTGAATAGCACCTTGTTCAAATTCACAGATGACACTAAGATGTGGGGGGAGGTGGGCATGCTAGAGGGGAGGGACAAGCTGCAATCAGTTCTGGACAGGTTACAGAGGTGGGTGGATGAGAACAGGATGGGTTTCAACACTGACAAGTGCAAGGTGCTGCACCTGGGGAGGAAGAACCAGCAGCATACCTACAGGCTGGGGAACTCCCCTCATGAGCACAGAGGCAGAAAAGGATCTTGGAGTCATTATTTATTCAAAGATGAACATGGACTGCCAATGTGGGGATGCGGTCAGAAAGGCTAACCGCACCTTGTCATGCATCTATAGATGCATCATGAGCAGGTCCAAGGAGGTGATCCTCCCCCTCTATGCAACCTTGGTCAGGCCACAGTTGGAGTACTGCGTCCTGTTCTAGGCGCTGCACTTCAGGAGGGATGTGGACAACATCTAGTGGGTCCAGAAGAGGGCCACCCGCATGATCAGGGGGCAGCCGGGCAGGTCCTATGAGGATAGGCTATGGGATCTGACCCTGTTCAGCCTCCACAAGAGAAGGCTGAGAGGGGATCTGGCGGCCATCTATAAACTGGCCAAGGGAGACCAGCAGGCAATGGAAGAGTCCCTGTTCCCCTGAGCACTACCGGGAGTAACAAGGAATAACTGCCATAAGCTCACAGAAAGCAGATTCAGGCTGGATATCAGGAGGCGCTACTTCACAGTCAGGGCGGCTAAGATCTGGAACCAACTTCCAAGGGAAGTGGTCCTCACTCCTACCCTGGGGGTCTTTAAGAGGAGGCTAGATAGACACCTTGCTGGGGTCATCTGACCCCAGTACTCTTTTCTGCCTGTGGCAGGGGGGTGGACATGATGATCTGCTCAGGTCCCTTCCAACCCTACTAACTATGAAACTATAAGCCACGTGCGACAACATGTGTCTGCCACTGCTGTGCCTCTCCTGGGATGCATGCAGCAGCAGGATGCCCCACGCCCCTGGATGAGCTGCCCAGGCTCCAACCATCCCATGACACACCCAGGGCCCCACTCCCTCACTGTGGGGGCCTCAATCTGCCTCTCCCCCTGCTCCCTATACAGTCACCTTCATTTGGCTGCCTGGCTGTCCTGGCTGCACCCCCAGCAGCTGTCTGCAGGCTGCAAAAGCACAGGTTTCCCCTTGCAGGCTGGAATGGGAAACCTGCGCGCTTGCATGTTTTTCTGGCACAGGCTTGCAACCCTTAAAAGTCATGGTGTGGGGCTAATTTTACAGTATCTGCACAGTCCATGAAAACTGGCTTTATTTCCCCCCCCCCCCCCCCCCCCCGCCCACCCCATCCCCCCCCCCCCCGGGCCCTATTCATGAGAGCAGAATATCAGAAGCAAAACAGCAAGCCTCTCTCATGTTACTGAGGGCAAAGTACTTGTCTCAGGACAACAAGATGAATATCACAACTAAAATAAGACTTGAAAAGCCCGGACACTCAAAAATGCCTACAAGGTGTGTTTCACTTGGATTTAATAATCTCTCAAGAAGGAAACCTGTTTACCTGTTGTTGTGCTCAGCTGCAATCTTCTGCTTTTCCCAGAATGCAGTCTTTTCCTCATTGACTAGATCAAACCATGCCCAGAAGAACAACTTCTTCAAGGAGGCTGCATGAAACTTGCTTGCTTTCTCCTCCAGAGTAGAGAGGGAATCCTTGTACTGGGGAATGGATGCAGAAAAATGGGTGAGAATGTTCTCCTGAGCCCAGGGTTGAGAAGAAAAGGGAGGGAAGGGCTAGGAGCAAGTGGGACAGACAGCAAAGAGAATGCAGAGATTGAAGGAGTGAGGAAAGGAGCATTAGGAAGGATAGTGATGAGTGGGGAAAAGGGCTGGCAAGTGAAGCCAGAAGTGTTGGGAAGCCAAGTAAGTGGATGAACAGGGGAGTGGTGGGGCTGAAAGGGAGGTCAATGAGGCTGCAGACAGACTGCATGTCCATGTGAGGAAGAGTTTACCTGGAGCCTGCAGGTGCTTATGGTCAACCTTGCAGCTGGGCTCTGGAATGCAAGAGCAGGTGCTTAAACTAATAACATCCCCACCTTTTTGGCCTGAACTTACCTTTAACCAGCTCCTGAAGCCCCTTCTGAGTAGCATGCAGGAACAGAACTCCTCAGCTCGAGCCATCTTCCCAGCGAGGATCTCCTGTGTGTGTTGGAGCCAGGCAAGCAGGCATTTCCTTTGGAGCCCCAAGCAGTGGTGCCTTTGTGCCACCTGGGCAGAGTGAGAAGAATGGCCTGTTATCCAAAAAAACATGTCCTGGGGCTGCAGCTCTGGAACCTCTTCCATAAAACCACCCTGGCTTGAATGTAAAGAACCCAGCGGGGCCCAGCTTATGTGTGGTTTTACCCAAACTGGAAAGCTTCTTATATGTTCTGAAGCATCTCTCTCCCCATTATAGCTCAGACAAAGCTATAGGTCATTAACAATGACCATTTCTGGGCATGATCTCTGAGACAGAAAGGTGAGCAGCTTCCTGTGAGGAAGCAGGCTACAAGCAAAGTCTATTAGACTAAAGAATAGCGCCATGAGGAAATAAGCCTATCACTGAAGATGTTAAAACTAAATTAGACAGGATGCTAGTGAGCATTTCAAAGGGAGTTGTCTTACCATGTGCAAGCACTGACGGGCTGGAGTTTTGTGGGGTAGGGTTAGGGGTAGTAAGTAATGGTTGAGCTCTAAAAGTGTCACTCAGGTCTTGGACCATGCCTGGGGAATAGGTCTGCTCCAGTTCTGAAAGGCCATGTAACCTAGGCCACAACTCTAGCAGGAAAGAAAGTCAGTCCTGCTAGGAGAGCCTGGTTTGGTCACACAGCTGCTCCAACCCTGAAAAACTCTGTATCCTCAAAGCTCATCCTGGCAACAGCTTGCTCTAACTCGGTCTTATTTTACCTGGGAGCGATACTTTAATGAAGTTGCTGTGGGATTCTTTATAAGGAAAATACCTCAGCTACTGTGGGACCTAACGTTCCAGAAAGTTGAATTTTTTTCTTGTATTTTTAATGTTCCTTTTTATCTGCTTCTTTCCTCTTCAGTCTCTTAACAGTCCACAGCGTGGACATATCAGACTGCTGTTTGACAATGTATGCTAGGGTACCAGCTTTCACTGCCAAGGGAATGGACTGGAGCTGGGACCATATCAATCTGTTGCACCACTGGCTTCTATGATGCTGGTCACCAAGATGGATTTACAGAGCAGGTGCTTGTCACTCCCTCTCCCTCCTCACCAGATGCTCATGTGTGCAGTCAAATTCAGCCCTGCTGTAAGTTGGTGCAACTTGATGAATTTAAACAGAAGCTGTCTGCTTCCAGCAGAAATTAATCTGGCCAGTGTCCTTCATGATACATTTGAGCTTTCCCATGCCAAGAAGCACTTCACGGTATGCCATGGCTTCGCATACCACCATTCAGACACTGGTTTCCTTAGTGAAGTGTGTGTGGAGGACTTGGAAGCTGCTTCCTACTGTTCTCTGGAATTCTCCCTGCCTGCCTACAGGAGTGGAGGGATGATTGTATTTGAACAGGCCAATAGTCTGTCTGGCCCAGTCCAGATTCTGATGTTTTAAAAAGTAGAGGTCCCATAACACAGAGTTTCTCAACCTGTGGGTCATGACCCGAAAGTGGATCACAAGAATATATGAAAGGGTCACGAGCAAACTTTCAAAATGTATCATATTTTGCATACATTTTGAAATGCATGCTTGTGCTTCACCATATGATAATGCTGGCATACTAATAAACAGGGATCCAGGTTTTCCGTTTGCCATGGAAAAATGTGGATTTTCTCCTTTAAAGGAGAAAAACGTTGAAAACTGGGTTTCTCCTTGCAGGCTGGCAGAATTCCAGCCTGCAAGGGACTGCTTAGGGCTGGGAGGAGGGCAGTCAGGCAGGGGGAGCCATGTGCATGTGCATGCGCACACATACATGTGGGAGCCAGGCAGCATGGGGAGCAGTTCCCATAGCTCTCCGCAGGTAAGTCTATGGGGTGTAGGGGTGGGGGGACATAGAAGACGCACTGAAGGGACTGGGGGCATGGGGGCACAGGCAATGCATCAGGAGAGTATGGGGGGCATGTTCCCTCCTCCCCCCAGTGTGTGTGCCCACAGCAGAAGCAGGGCTGCAGCCTGGCCAGACCGATACAGTCAGGAGGCACTTCCACAGCCCAGTGGGTTGGACCTGGCATGGGAGGATGGAGCAGGGCAGTGAGACTCATTGCTGCTGCTGCTACCGAGACTCCTGCACCAGCTATGCTGCCAGCAGCACAAGGAGTAATGGACTGGGCAGGGGGAGGGGGGCATGCTGCCCTTGCCGCTTCCTGCTACCATCTGCTTAAGTGCTGGGCCTCAGCTGTACCGTGCCATCATGCCCTGGCCGCTGCTGTGACCACCACTGCTCCCCTTAGGCCATCTGGCTGCCAGACACCCCATCTCCCCTCTGGGGTAGAGCTGCACCCTGAAGAAACTGGTGGTGGCAGTGGCCAAGCGATGGCAGCAGGGTAGAGCTGTGGCTCAGTGCGCAAGCAGCTGGTGGCAGAAGGAGGTGACGGCAGAGCCCCCCCCACCCACCATCCATTACTCCTTGTGCTGCTGGTGGCATAGCTGGTGCAGGGGTCCCAGCAACAGCAGCAACAAGTCTCGCTGTCCTGCTCTGCCTTCCCATGCTGGATCCCGCCCACTGGGCCGTGGGTGGCTCCTGCCTGTGCTGGTCTGGCCAGGCTACAGCCCCGTGCCTGTTGTGGGCACACATGGGGGGGAGGGGCATTACCCCCCATCCCACACCCCCCTGCCCCATACACTGTGGGGCTGTTTTCTATTTAAACTACTAACTGGGTTAGGATTGGCCATCAATGGTTACAAATGGGCCCTGGTACAAAAAAAGGTTGAGTACCACTGCCATAACACACCAGACCCAATCATACTAGACCTGCATCAGCCTGACAATGTCTTCTTGCACAAGTGACTGACTTGCTTTGCCCTAAGTTTTAAGGACTGGCATGTTTATGGTGGTATAATTGTAGAGGTTCTCCTGCCACATACGTTACGCCAGACTGATTATTTAGTATAAGCTTGACCTCTGATCATATGGCAGAGAGTCCCAGGGCAGCAGAACAACCCAAAATGACTTATTTTGATCAGTTTTTAAATGAGCTGTTTTGGGTTATGGACAGACACAGTTTTCAACTGCTTTGAAAGCGGGGAGGGACTTGGCCCTTGGGAGCAGGCATCAGTGGCTAGGATGCAACTATGTCTGTTCCTAAAGCCATGTATGTAAGCTAAACAACTATAGCTTTAACACTGAATGAAACAGGGTTAAAATTACAATGGCTTTGCACTTATGTAGGAGCACATAGATTGAACAGTTAGAACAGCTTATAGCAGTATCATTCCATACTCATGAAACCCTTATGTCTGTATATACTCCTCCTTTCATGGTCTGCTTGTAAGTGGGGAAACCCTTTGTTATGTCTACACTTCATTATCTCTCTCACCTCTGCCATGTTTCCTCTTGCTCTTCCTTTCAAATTAAATAAGTGGAAGTCAGATTTTCAAAAGGACTGCATGTCATTGATTTTCAAGAAGACTTACAGGGCTAGAATATTTATGATGTTTGTGAAATTGGACTTAGACTCCTGAGTAACCTAGGCACCTCTGAAAAGTGTTCACTGTCCCCTACCCCCCATAGCCTCTCTCACACCCACATGCTTCTTATCTCTCTTTCTCTCTGCCCTTTCTTTGACTGACTGTGCCTTGTTTTATCAGGAGAAGGTGGCTAAATTGGAAAGCCATATTCAGAGATCCAAAAAAATCAAAGTCAAAGGCTGGCCCAAGCCTAACAGCCCACTGAACTAGCAGAGTTAGGGCACACCAGTTTCTATATCCAACAGCACCAGAGGAATGATAGGGTTAGCAATGCATCCAGCTGTCTTGGATTCATCAGCCCCGCAATGATCAAGCACCTACTTAGAGCCAGGTTGATTAAGGGGGCAGATTTCAACACAAGTTCAGGATACAGCTTCAAGCTCACCCCTCTAGAGCTCTAGCAGGATGCACCACCCATCCTGCTACTCTGCCATGCTACAGTCAAAGATATCACAGGTAAAAGCTGGTGCTGCTTGAGTGTACCATCAGAAATGCACTCTAAGGGGTGAGAAGGCAGGATGAAGCTCCTGCATGGGGATGGACATAAAGCAGATTTTCTCCTGGCTTTGCAGTCCATTACTTTTTCCCCATCCCCACTAGGCTGCTGCTTCCTTCCCTTCTCTTCCCTACTCAAGAGCCTGGTTCCTCTACTTTGTTCCCAGTTGGCACTTTACCACTATGTTTTCCTGGGCTTGTTTTCTCAGCCTCTTCCAGGGATCTAATCCCAACTTTCTCAGCAGGACCTTCTCATAATGTGTTCTGGCTTGTGTATGAAGCTGCTGCTCTCTCTCCAGCCTTCTCTGCTTCTCCAGTTCTTTCTGCAATTCAAAGAGCTGAGGTTTAACTCATCCTGGTATCCTACATAACCACAGTCTGTATATGGGGAGCCTAAGCCGGCAGGAAATGGGACTCTGTGGCTCATTTTGGTAGTAGCATGAGAGTGATCAAATAGCTCTGCAAACACACATCAGCTGCTTCTGAAATGAGTCAGCCAGCCAGGGCCATGTGTTGCAAAGGCATCAAGCTGTCTTCCTCAGATCATTGGGAAGGATGGTCATGTCTACAGAGAGAGTCACTCCAAATATTTAGGTCAAAGGAACAGAGAACCCAGGGCATGGGCTGTGGACCCTGGTCCCCTGGTTGCTGCTGCTGTAGAATCACTTGTTTGTTCAGGTGCTACCAGGGCTCCCATCATCATGACAGACTGCCCATGGCATACAAGCTTACTACAACTTGCTCATATAATAAGACCCTATTTCTGTTGCTTGTATAGACACTGCTTCTCTACTTGCATGTGTCTGTAAGCTGGTACAGAATTCTGCATCAGCTAAGTGCAATGGATCAACAGTGAACCTTTATGAGGAAAGTTCCTCAGCCTGAACATTGGTTCTGAAATCTAAGCTTAGCTGCTTGGGGGGATGGTAGACAATTTGTAAATGTACAGTGGTCTGATATACAGGAAGAGAAACCAGCATGCCTCATTTTTGCTCTAGGTAGAACAGTGCATCTAGGTCAGATTCCTTTGAGATTTAAAGCATTGTGTTATTTGGGTTTTTGGCACAGCTCATTTCCTCAGCAATAACCTTGAGGTGGCAGCACCTGGGCATAGCAGAGGAGGTGCTCCCATTCATTGAAAACTTTCTAGGGCTTATTTAGCTTGGTCTTCACATTTAGGAGTGATACAGCTGTGTGAAAGTTGGGGACATGAGCAGAAGAAAACAACCCAAGTGAGATGGAGTTACCGTGCAGCCCACCACAATGCAAGCTTCCCCCACACAACCTGGTTTACTGGTGTACCTCACTGGAGAGAACACCTGGGGACAAGAAAAGGGCCCTCTATGACCCAATCAATCCTTGGTACCTCTACCGAGACTGCCAGGAACAAGCTGACAACTGTAACACCTGTCTTTGTTCTGCAAACACCAGTCTCTCTACTAAGATCTTCAACCCATTTCAATCGGGCCCCTGAACAGCCACGAAAGAGTTACAGTACTTGCTCTCTGGTGTTGTGACTATGGGCCAAATGCATGCCATGTTCTGTTCACCAGTTTCTGCTGTCTCTTCTCTTCTCGCCTTTTCTCCAACTGGGCCTCTTTTTCTGCAGCCTCCTTTCTCTGACGTTCTTCTTCTTCAGCCTTCAGTTGGGCCTTAAAAATAAGGAAGTGGGTAGGTTTGAATTGGGGTTGCCATATTTGATTTTTTTTTTATTATTTTTTTTAGAGGGAGGTGGTACTTTCAGACTACAAGTCTACTAAGGTAAGCACCTTGTCTCTAATAGGGACCAGTAACGAACTTCAGAGGAAGGCAAAAAACCGCTCCGAATGCACCTGGCCTTTTGCGCAGTGATCTATAACAAGGTAGGGAAGGACACAGCATCAAACACGCTGGAGTAGAATATGTGACCACATGTCTCTAGGACTGGTTAACTTTACATGTTAGTGATAGTTAATCAGCTCCAGCCTCCCACCCAGCAATGAATTCCACAGGCCTTTTCTGCAACCTGTGAAGTTCCACTTTTACTCCCACGCAGAAAGCTACCAAAGTTATGGTCTCTTAACTGTCTTTTCCCCAGTGCACCACAATCACTAAAGCAAAGATGTTTAACTGAGGCAGCATTCGTGAGGTGCCCTTCATAATACTGCTTATTCCTATCGAGAATCTCTTCTGTCTGCATCATGGATTGCTTTCAGTTCAACAATAGTGTTGCCTTTGGTGCACACATCAAATAGCTGAAAACCACACTACAACTCCCATATCTACCACTGCACTACCTATTCCCTTTAAGCATGTTAACTGTAGATTGGCAAACTGATCTTGGTCCTTGCCCACCTCCAAGTTAAAGCCACTTCTAAGGGTTGGGTTATCTTCCTGCATCTCTCTCTCTCTTAGAAGGTACAAAACACCTCAGTTGCTGGTGGATCCTTATTTTGGGTGTCCTGATGCTTGTGCAACTAATGTCACCACTTTCGGAAGGTCACGCTGTTGAAGGAAAAATTCAAGCATACTTCACAACCAAAGGAAAGCCCCTGGGACAGAAAAACTGACATGGCCTCCTATTGCACCTGACTCAGATCCTTGGATGTTCCCCTCCTGGGAGGTAGCAGGGCCAAGGATTTCAAACAGATTACCTGCTTTCATGGTTTTCAGCACTTATTTCCCTTACAATATGGTATTTCACAACTCAAAAAGTCCCTTCCCACTCCAACATTGCTGTAATTTGTTCAAAACTGATACCTTGTGTGTCTCTTAGATCTAAGATGCATAGGGTAGAGTGGGGCTGACCTTATTAATTGCAAACACCCACAGAGTGTTGCTAAATCATCTTTTCACTTTGGCAGAGGTTTAACAATAAATAAAAAGGTAGGGTTTGCTGTGCTGGATCAGATCAAAAGTCAATTCAATGCTGCGTTCTCCTGATGCTACAAAGGAAGGTATGAATGTGTACAATGCATGTGGCCAGATGTGCAATGCAGCATTTAAGTGGGTAGAGGAGAGAGAGAATTCCTACTCAACACCTGTTTATGACACCAATACCCAGAAACCTAATGACACTGTAGGGGAGATGAATAGAAAGAGGAAGAGATTACACCATCCTGGATAAGTGCAGATCTTTATTAACTTCCCCAGAACCATTATACTATTTCTTAGGTGGGTTGAAAATGAAACAAATCCACCCTTGGACTGTGGAAGGCAGAGACTAGTGTTTCCCTTCACTCAACCATGACCCCCTGAAAACCATTCAGGAATGGCACTGATGGGCTCTGAAGAGATCCCATGCAAACCTCCTTGGATGAAGGTATAGTGGCACAACATGGGGCTTTAAGTAGAGGTAGAAATTGGGAAAGAATGGGTTTCCAGTGCTACAGAAGGGAGAACACCAACTCAACAGGTTGCATTTGTGTATGTCCTGTTGTAGTCTAGCAGGGTTAGAGACATGAGGGAATGCTCCTGCAGAAACTTTTCTGGGGGTTCTTAGTGCACATAGCAGCCACTGACCATTTCATGGTGAAAGCCCTTCAAGTTCAAGTTTGCAATTTGGATGAAGGGCCTTTTCCAGCCCTTGATTATAAGAGGCTTTCTTTCACAGTAGCTCTCAGCTCTGCTTTACTTACCAGTTTTTCCTCCTCTCGTTTTCTCTTTGCCTCTTCCAGTTTCCTCCTCCGTTCAGCTCGCTGAACTGCTCTCTCTTCCATGGCTAGACCGTAAGGAACAATGGTATGTAGAGTAAATAAACGTCAGGGCAGAAGTTTGGGCCAAAATGAAAATGGAGCTCCTGTCTCACACCTCCCACTTGTGCCTGGCCTGGCAGTGTTGGTGGTGGTCAGGCCCCACCAACTTTTTAGTGGACGAGGAATGCTCAGTCCTTCGTGGGAAGAGTTGGGGTGCCTCACTCTGATTAAAACTGACCCTCACTCACAGCAACAGTGGTAGGCTGTGGAAGGAATCATTGCTACCACAGCTGGCTTTTAAGGGGAGGAGGTAAATGCAGACAATCCCTGCTCCTTTCTTTCTCCTATCCCCCTGAGATGCACAAGAGCCTTAGGAAAAAGACATATGGGGCCAGGATATGATAAAGATCTGGAGCAGAAAATATAAGATTGGAGGTTCTATATTAGCAATAAAGACAGTTCTGCCAGCAGCATCTCTGGGAATGGCTACTTCAGGAGTAGCCTGGAATTCCCACTGATTTCCCTTGAGAAGGGAAGCAATGCTTTCGTGCAGCACTTGAGGGAGTCATTCAGTCAGGTCATTCAAATCTTTCCAACATATCTAGTCAACAAAAATTATTTGCTTCCAGGGTAATTAATACAAAATAAGCTTTCCAACCCCCAAAATGTCTTTTGTCTTTACAATATTGTTTTTACTAAAAGGCCCATTCATGAGAACAGACTCTTCATACCATGGTCAGATTGGTATGGACTGTGGGGGTTTTTGCCTTCCTCAGTAGCAGGGGACATGGCCCTCTGCCTGGGATCTCCTGAGCACATATAGAAGGTTGTTAATAGAAGCAGGGGGTTAGATGTTATGGTCCCTCTGTTCTGCCTGCAGCAGGTTAGGGGGTTATGTCTTGTGTTATGTTAGGGCTGATGGTAGTTTCATGAATAGTTTAGATTATAGATCATATAGGATGGTTTGGATAGGGATGATTCTGCCTCAGGCAGGGGGATGGACTAGATGACCTCTGGAGGTCCCCTACAGCTCTGCTTCTCTGTGATTTCTATGTTTTCTATGCAGGAAAAACCATACCTAAATGGTCAGCCAAAATTCAAATCCTGGAAAGCCCTTAGGGGTATTAGCTATATGAGTGAACAACTGCTACTAGATCAGAATTTATTCCATGGCAAAGTATGAGAGCTGGGTTTTGCTCTAAGTCATATAGCAGTAGAGTCACCAGAAAGCCTGAAAAAGCCAAGAAGACCTCCCAGGAAAGAGCAGTTTGATGCAAGCAGTCATAGCAAAGCTAGAAAGCTCTTCCTCAAGTAGAATTTCTACAGTGAAAAATAATCCAGCACTATCTTTAGGAACAAAAATTACTGACCCCAAACCCAGGAGATTGCAATAGCCCATATTCTACAAAGCCTTGACCTGGATATTAAGGGGCCAAGCCAATCTTGCTTAAAACAAACACAAAGTTAGTAGCTTTGATCCTGCTGGGAGAAGTTTTGCTCATTACATAGTGTGGCTTAGCACTATGGAGGAGAGGTGTGGATGGGAAGGAGATGCTGTTTTGTGGAACAGGAAAAAGAAAGAGGCAGGGGTAGCCCAGCAGTATGATACCTTTCAGTATGGGATGGGCCAAGACCAGCCGACTCTGGTTCCTCTTGTTCTGAGCTGCTGCTGGCTTTGGGCTCTCTGGTTCCCAAGGGACAGGTGAACTGTGAAGTGAAAGAGAAAAGATACTAGCGACATTACCTAACATAGCCAAGGGGGTCTTAGGTCTATGGCACAAGGCTACAGTCAGGATTCAGAGTCACTATTCTCAGTCCTGCCGGTCTCCTCATGTGAGTCTTGGTAAGTCCCCCAGCTTCAACCCTCTGTAATACCGGGTTAACGATGTGTTCCCACCTCAGAGAATAAATGTATAGTGGCCGGTCTGGGTTTTGAGATCCTTGGATGGAAGGCATTACAGAAGTATGAAGTACTACACGGCTCTGTACTAAATAAATACATTTTACTCCTGTTAACAACAATGTAGCATCTTCTGTCCTAAACTACCTCACAAGTTTATCACAGAACCAATGCAAGTCAAAGAAGTTGGAGTAGTGTTAAAGGTCTGGTCTAACTAACACCATAGAAAGAATGGCAGCCAATGAGCCATTAACACCACTTTCAAGAATACCGAGGTGTTCCCTGGAGGGCTCCCATGCAAGTGCTGACCAGCTTGTGAGAAGGAAGAATATGCTACAGAGACTCCAGTTCTCTCACAACCATGGCTCATGAAGGCCACTGTACCTTAAAGGTGCCATATTCTTGCAGCTTGATTGCTTCAGCTTTTCCTCCCCTGCTTTTGGGATCAGATTATTGAGTGCCCTGGTGACCACTGTGGCTTGCTCAGCTTCTTCCTTAGCTCTCCTCAGCCTCTGCTCTTCTTGAAGTTCAAGGATCAGCTCCCGCTGTTCTTGCAGCTGCCTCTTCTGCTCCTCAATCAGCTGCTGCTGAAAGGCATGGCGGTGCTCAAAGCGACCTCTGACAGCAGAGGCCATTTTGTGCCCAGGTGCTGCAGACCACTGGGTAGGAGGGACTGTTTGACTGCTAGGCTCACCCTGGCCTGGCACATCCAGAGCAGTATGCTGAAAGGCGATCGGTCTGGGGTGCTTGAGTTTCTGGCACAAATGAAGATGAAGTGTCCGGCTAGCCTCCCAGCAGCAAGGTTCTACACTTGTCATGGGCGCCTCTTGAAGTGGTGTTTCAGTCACCTGAAAGGAAGGGCTTTGATACTCATTTGAATCAAGATCTCTGCTCCCCTTACAGAGTAAGGAGCGTCTTTTTAACAAAACAAAACAACAGTGAAGCGAGTCTGAGAAGCAAGATAATCCCACATGTGTACTCTTGACACAGCTGTTAGCTATCATAGAGATGTCCAGAAATACATGCCAGTGAGTCTGCATCGTCCGAGGATTTCACGAGGCATAAAGGATCCTAAATCAGCCAGCTCTACCTATATGGTAAGTAAATAACCCAGGGGGACTGGAAAAGGGCCCTATTGGGCAGGTGGTTCAATCTGGATTCCTGCAGTGAGAGTAGTACTGGGTAACTAAAGTCCAAGGTCATGAACACAATCTCTTTTGGATTCATTCACCTAAGACTAAGATAATAAGAAAAGCAGCTGTAAAAATGTGGCCTACGGGACCAATCTATAAACCTAATTTAGAGAAAATCCTGTTTTAAACAGAGGAAGTCTTAAAGAGCCATTGCTTCAGCTCTACAGAACTGCATTGATAACAAAATAAATAAAGCATCAGAAGACTGGGCCCCAATTCTTTGAAATGTGGTTTTTCTTCTGGGAGGTGTCCAACCTACAAAGCACTTGGATCTGCTGTGTACTTCCCAAGCCAAAACCCATCCTCAGATATATCCTTCGAATGGGAGTTTCACTGGTCTGTCTGAAGGAAGGAACTGATCTATAGGGGCTGTATAGGTGTAATGGAGGAATTCTCCCTTTCCTTACTACCATGCAACCTCATGTGATAGGATTTGTCTTCATCTTGCATGTGAGGGTTCACCCTTCAGGAGGATTTTCCTTGTGTGCTGCACCCACGTACTCAGGACTGGAGGGGTTACCTTGTCATTGATGCCCATTGGTCCCTGTCATATAAGAAGCCACTCAGACATTTGAAGGACTCAGAGAAACAGCAGTGTGCTCTCTCTTAAGATAGGCTATGACTGTCTCTTATCTTGCCCTTGACAACACAGGCTTCATGGAAGCCAAAGTTTGGTCCACAGTGGGTCTGTGTACATATTATTCCTCATTTGCATCCTGTTAATGCCTACAGGCTCCACTCAGGATCAGGGCCTTGTTATACTAGAAGACACACACACACAATACAGATCCTGACCCAGACATGTGCTAGTTGGGTTAGGGACAAACTTATTCTTGTACTTCCTCATGATGTGTATTGCCTCAAAACTTCCTGAGACAAATTCTGCTGTACTCCTTAAAAGTCAATGGGGTAGCATTTGTGTAACTGAAAGCAGATGCTGGCTCCTTTTTTTGTAATGCCATGGTTGTAACTAACGTATTTTTGCTGTTCAGTATATTGAGACATAAAACCTATAACTTTAATTCTCCTTTGAAAAGCAAGCCAGATGCTGCAAGTCTCAGTATGGTAGCTAGTACATAGAAAAATTATATTCTTAAAAATAACCTCCACAGCTGTTAGACTCCTCCATCCTTCTAATTTGCCTGTGGGCTTTAGAGACTGTCTATTATGGAATTTACCTTTTTTTGCCTCTTGGGTTGATCTTGGGTCATTTTTCTTGCCCCAGCCCTGCTAACATGGGATGATCCATCTGGGCCTATTTTCCCCAATAATACTGCCTCCAGCAGATGCTCCATCCTCTTCCTGGTCTCCTCTTTTCTCCACTGTAGCTCCCTCTTTTCTGCCTCTGCTTGGCTCCAGCGCTGCCACTCTACAAAGCAGCAATGCAAAACCCGTCTCCGATTATACTCAGAGGCAGACTGTTTTTTCCTGGAAAACAGAAGCACTTCCATTAAAATCAGGGAAGGGGTCAATCATCCAGGTTGGAAAACCTCTCCTGGTTGACCAGAGATTACCAGGGAGGGGAAGCAATACAGAGCACGCCATGGATGGGGTTTCACACTTTCCTTAGTTCTGCTTGACATTACTACATTTGAAAGATTTCTCAGCACTATTTCCTGTTCCCATTAAAGGTGACAGGAGGCTTGTGGCTGACAGAGAAAGTACTGTTTTCTTTAAATACTTTTGTCCCTGCTCGCTGTTTTACAGTCCCACCTTCATCTTTGTGCAATGGGGAAGGAGTTAAGAGGATGCACTCTTGTCTTCTCCAGCCCCACCTACAGGTTCACCTACAACAGACTTCTGCTGTCAGTGGGAAATCCAACTAGTGGGCTCCTTCTCAAAACACTGAGCCAAACTAGTCCCTGATGTAACCCCAAGAAATCAGTGGATGGCTGGATTTATCAGAGACAAATTTAGGTTGCTGAGACTTGGGGGCCTGGAGGAAGGACCAAGTCAATGAGAGAGGCCCTAGGAAGGACACCTATAGACAGAGGCAAAACAGGGATTTTTGGAGAAAATCCCTCCTTTGAACCATCCTCATTTCAGTGTGCACGATAGTGTCTCCAACAGGTGGTAACTGATGAGCAGGGATCCTGGTTTTCCATTTCCCATGGAAAAACAGAGAAAACCACAGATTTCATCTTTTAGCAGAGAAACCCATGGATTCCCTGCTTTTGCAAACAGCTCTGCAGGCTGGTTGAGCTCCAGCCGGCAAAACCTGTTTGCAAACAGGGCAGGAAACCCACAGCCCAGCCCAGAGGGAAAGGGCAGGGCCTGAGGCGCTCACTCAGCCACAGCTCCACTCAGCTCAGCTTCACTTTTCTTCTGGACCCTGTGAGGTAAGTGGGGCTTGCAGGGGGCTGGGGGCCCCTGTAGCAGGGTTAGGGGGTTGCAGGCCATGGCTGGGGGCACCGGCAGGACTGCAGGGGGAGCCAGAAGCTGGCCCCGGCCCCACATGAGCGGGCAGAGCAGTGGGGGAGCCAGCTCCATGCTGCTTCTGCTGCAGCTGCCTGCTGTTGGGGGCAGGGAGCTACAGACTTGGGTTCCTAGCCCCATAGCCCTGGCAGCTGGGGGCCCCCTCCGGCAGGGCTGGGGGGCAGGGGCTGTCAGTGGGGGAACAAGAGGCACGAGTAGGGCAGGGGGCTGTTTTGGAGGCAGTGAGGGGCACCAGCAGGGCTGGGGGAAGCATTGGAGGGGTGTGAGATGCACCAGAAGGGCGGGGGCAGGGGGCTGCAGGGGGCTTTCAAATTTTAATAATGGATTTTGGGGGTTTTATCAGCGAATTTGCGATTTTTTTTGTCAGAGAAAATCAGGATCCCTGCTGATGAGTAGATTTACTAAGTACAAAGGTTCTCTCATTCTTGTTAGTAGACTATCCCATTTTACAAGCTTCCAGTTACCACAAGACTACTTCACGGCTCTTAGCTTCTCTGTGAGAAAGAGGCATTCCAGGGTCCAAGAGTTGCTACCTGTTTTGATCCCTGAGATGAGTCTCCAACTTCCGAGTCTCCTGCTCCAATTTCTGGGCCCAAGTATAGTCTCTCCAGGCTCGTAGGGCCTTCAGCTGGCACTTCCAGTCAGCGAGGGCCCTGGCTTTCCCCATTTTAATCCTGTGCTCCAAAACGAGCTTGAACCATGCAGAGAAATGCTGCTGTAGACACTGCATTGGGAAGGTTAACAAAACCAGTGAGTGAGTATACTTTAGCAAATGAATACTCATTGGCTCAGGCCTTCCTTTGGCCTTTCCCTGCAGGAAATCTTATGTTTTCAAACCTGCACCAAGTGCCCCTGAGGGTTGAGTAGTGATGTGAAGATAAGTCATGCATCATATACAGCTGTGCTATAGAAAATGACATCATGGGAATCCATGTTTGTTTGTCAGTGGGCATGTCTACACAAGATACTAACTGCAGGGTAGCCTAATAATACTGTGCAGTAGTGCATGACAGCACAAACAGTGCTAACACACTACTGCACAGTATTATTATGCTATTGTGCAGCAGCATCATGAGAGAGCCATTCACGGGAGCTACTGTGCAGTAACTTAGATTATTACACACTTATTCAAGTACTAAATTAAATGTGCAGTAACCACTGCACATTAATGAACATGTAGATGCACCCAGTGACTCCATAGCAAAATGTGCTTAGTTTGCAAATGTAAAGCAGGGGTGCTTAACCTTTCAGCTTCACAGGCCAGGTGAGCAACATGGGACCAGTTCATGTGCCAGATCCTTTCTTGAGTCACTGTGTAGGGTTGGTCGCTTTGCCAACCCAATCAGGCCTCACATGCCCAGATCAAGCCCCACAATGTCCCAGCCCCATGTGCCCTGATTTGGCCCTGTGCCACCCCAGCCCAACATATCCAATCTAGCACACTGGGCCATGCTATCCAGCCTGTTTGGCTTTCCCCGGTCCAGAAATCTGACAGCAGCGGCAGCAACAATTAAGGCTGCCAATGCTCCTCCAACACCAAATTTTCAGAGCCATGAGGAGCCCGGCAGGCCAGATGACATGGCTCTGCAGGCCAGATCTGGTCCATGGGCCAGGGCTAGAGCAGTTCTGGTGTAAAGGAACAAAACAAGTGAGAAATAGAACTCCTAGAAGGAAGGTTGTCTCCAAATTGGCAAAAAAATAAGATGCCAAAGATGGGCTGCCTTTACATGGAATTCAGCCCCACCCCCCCAATTTGTCAACAAGCTGTCAGCTGCTTTTTAAAGACTAGACAAAAATCTATCCACTTCCTGGTGCTAAAATTTATGACGTGACCTACAGTTGCCCTCTTTCCACTAGGAAGTTAAAGCATTTCCCTGTGGTGTAATCAGGCTCGTTGCCTCCGGGAGTGATTTACATTGCACAGAATAGCAATTTGCTATCTAATCTACCCTATAATTCTAGCCCTGTCACTGCAGATGCTGTTCATTTTGATCCTCTAAGCAGGTCAGCTTGGAGGGCTCAGCTGCTTCCCTTTTTGGGCATAATGGCCTGTATTAATTGCATTTATCTCAGTCATGGCAATCTCCAAACAGAGAATTAGGAAGAGGGCAAAGTCAATATATTAGTTACTTATTTCTGTTCTAGAAAAGAATCAGTGGTGTTATTGCCTATATCAGCTCTGTTACAGTTCCTGCCCTTGAATATGCCCAGCTTATATCATACAAGCCTTGAATCCTTCTACAGTTTAATTTGGACCGTTAACGTTCCATTTCAGCTTGTGGTGTAGTATTGTTGTGCACTATTAAACAATCTCTTTGCTCCGCTCCTGCAGTGGTGGCATATGAGGTGTACAGCAAGTGATCTGCAGGGACAATTGGTAAAAAAGCTAGGGGGTACTTGTGCACAAATGATTCTACACATACGTAAGATGATTAACAATGACAAATGATCTATTAATTTAAAATAGAGTGCCCTGCCATTTATGACACAGGGCCTCTGTTATAAGCCTACAGTTTACACGGTGACTGCAAAACTAAAGCCATTTAAAATTTTTTTTCAGATACTGAATAAACATTTCCATAGTCTCAATAGTGAAGAGATATTTTCCCTACTGTTCTGTAAACTCTGGTCTTTGACACCGAGGAGAAACAGCAAGGGAAATATAAGAGGAAACATAACATTTCTGTGCCTGGACTAGTATTTTAGCAAGACACTCTCAGCATAAAACTGTCCTTTTAGTTTAACAACTAGCTGTTTGCCATGACAGATTTAGGCTGTGCTAATCAAATCACATCATCTGAACTATAATTTAGCATTAACAAGCAAGGGGATTGGGTTAAAGGCCATTAAAAAAGACCTTCTACTTCACAGATGTTTGGCACTCTGTTCCTGTAATGTTTGCATTATCTTGTGGGGTGGGAGAATTGCTTCACTGCGTAAGTCCAGCAGGAAAAAAGTCTCTCTAGATTTCTAGTATGCACCCTTAAAACCTCAATGCTTGGTGCTACAGGGTATCTGCCATACCACTATCTCCTTGGTAGCTTGACACTTTGGGAGTGGAGAGCTGGGCAGTGATAGGTGAAGATGAGATGGTGTTGTACCTCTGACACACAGCATATACCTCACAGCTCAGAGGCAGTGTGTTGAGATGGCTTAAAGCCACCTCCTCTCCTGAGCTACTCGGAGGGCTGGAGAGACCCCTAGCTTACACTAAATTATGGCAGTCTCTTGAGGCCCTGCTGTAGGAACCAGCAGTGCCTAGAATCACCACATATGGTCTAGTCCCACAAACCTGACAATCTTTCAACCCAAGCCCTGCCCTCAGAACATGCCCTTCCCCTTGCAAGAGTCTTTGAAGAGAAGCTTTACAGATGTCTTTCGTGGTACTCATGTGACGGGGCTCCTCCCCCAGGGCAGAACTAAGACTTGAAGGCCCCTTTATGCCACTACAACCCTTTTATTTGGAACAAGGGGCCAGAGAGGGTAAAAGAATCTCACCCTGAGTTTTCAAAGGTGCCCTTTGCATCTCTATTTGTTTCACCTGTTAGAATGGGTTGCTTCATGCCCACAACTACTTCAAAAGCCTAGTATTACCCACCACTTTCACTGAAGTGCATGGATGGGGAAACTGAGGCACAGAAGTTATAGGACTTGCCTGTGGATCCAGCAGCAGAATCTGTCAGGATTCAGGAGTCCCTTGTCCCCACTGCAGTGCTCCAATCACTAGATCACCAGCCTCCAAAACTTCTCCTTTCCTCTGCTCTCTCCCCCTATCTTACTTGCCCTTCATATGACAACCAGGAGGAATAGCCACCAGCCAGGGTTTGTGGCTTCAACAGGAGTTTCATAAGTACTGTGTTTACTCAAATCTAAGACAATGTTTTCTTCCCAAACAAACTAGGGGGGAAAAAAGCCTCATCTTAAATTCAAGAACCAGCCCAGGGCAGGAGGTGACTCAGCTCCAGCTTTAGAGTCAGGAGGCAGGCACAGGCATGGGGTGGGGCGAGGGTGGAAGGCAGGGATAGGCAGTAGGGGTCAGGCACAAGCGTGGAGGGGATAAGGGACAGGGGGAGCAGACGATGGTGGGCGGGGGGGAATGGCAGGAAGGGCAGACACAGGCAAGGGGAAGTAGCAGGTAGGCAGTAGGGGGGCAGCTGCTGCTTTCCCCATCACAGCAGTAAAGGGGAAGAATTTAGGATGACCTTCTTGTAACAGGGAACCCTAACTCTGTTACTGTGAGAGAGAAAGAAAAACAAGAGAATGATTGTATAAGGTGGATTGGACCAGTAGAGGGTGTACAAGATTGTATAAGGTGATTTGGTTAGGGATGATACCATCTCAGGAAGGGGGTTGGACTAGATGGCCTCTGCGAGTCCTTTCCAGGCCTACTTCTCAATGGCTCTATGAAGAAAAACTATCAAGGTTTAAGACCAGAACTTTTGTAGCCTGGGGAAGGGAGGGGACAAGTAACAGCAGTAGAGAGCAGTCTTGGCTGAGTCATTAAAGCAGAGGAGATCCCAGCTGCCAGGATGAACACCTAGCTGAATAAAAAGGGGCAAGCTTCCTACTTCAAGGGAGGGCAGAGATTGCCCAGTGAGAGCCAGCTGGCCCTGGGATATGGACTTGGCTCTTGCAGAGCTCAATCTGCAAATGGTGGGCTGCAGAATGCAGGAAAATTACTAGCATCTGGGCCCCATGAACAGGAAGCCCGGTCAGCTGACCAGCAGGTTGGGGCTGACTAGTATACAGATTCTCCTCCAGGACAGAGGAGCTGGCTGGCCCAGGTGGTAGAAAAGGACAAAGCACTCTTGGGAAAAGGGGGGAACTACAAGCCCAGCAAGGGAAGCTTCTGCTGGTAGAGAGTGTGCATTTAAGGGACTAGGGACTTGATTAAAGGCAGTTCTGGTATGCAGAAAAGGTTGAGTTTTCTGTTGAAAACTATTTGTGTTAACTCAGTAAGGGTCTGTTTTCTTTTTGTTTGCTTGCTTGATAACATCTGGTGGACCTGGGCAGCTATGAGGGGAGGTTTGGAGGCTACAGAGCAGAGTGCCTCCCTTTTTAGGAGGGAGGTAGGCTATAGCTTAGACAGCGCTGAAGCCCAGATGTTCTAGTCTGGGCTCCTGGCCCAAAGCAGGCTGAAGTCTGGGAGGGGCTGAAGTCCAGGCCAGAGTGAGATAGGGCCAGGAGCCCAGGAAGAGTGGGGGGCAGAGAGAAGCAGAGTCTCACTCAGGCTAGTTGGACTAGTAATAGTCTGGGGAGTGGAGTGGAATGAGGCACCAACAGCTAAACTCCGGTTCCCTGAAGGCAGCCTCCTAAAAATATTATACTAATTCTAACATCAAGGCATGGCAGGATGGAGAAAAAGCCAAACTGGAGAGCTGGCATAGGAGGATAGGTATAGTGTGGCCACCAGGGGGTGTCATGGCCACCCCTGGAGATGCACCCCAGTTATACTTCCACTAATTGGATTCTGTAGGTGGAAAATTGAAAATTATCAATTTTTCCATGTATAGAATCCAGTCAGTGGGGCGGGAGGTCATCTTGGATTCAAAGTTGTCTTGTATTCAGGTAAATGTGGTACATAACAGATAGAAGGTCTTGATTCAGAATACTGAATAAAGGAGGAGGATGCTCACTCGCTGGTTCTGTATATGAATCCTGGTCAGCCACTCCTTCACTTTCCTCTGTTTTTCTTTTCCTTGCTCTTCCTCCTGATCCAAGGGGGTTGGTGTCTGTTCTGCCACCATTGGCTTCTGGGTTTTTACTGATTTTTGCCTCTGCCTCTCCCTAAAAATAAAATAAACACCAGGAAGCACAGTCAGATAGATAGTAAATGAATAAGACACTGCAGTATCTTCAACAACTTTCAGAGAATGACCACTGCTGTGGGAAGATGATAGCTACCTAAACCCAGCCACTTTAGCAAGTAAAGTTAGCTTTGAGATTTAAAGACCAAGTGAGCACAAACCACACAGATTCAACCTGCTCAGGAAGGGGGTCCAGAACATGGCAATATTAGGAACATAGGTCTGGATGAGGCCTCCTGAGCCATCACTTCCATTCTCCTGCCTTCCTATTCAAATGTTAATGCAAAGCATCCTCAAAATTGTCACTTCACATTTTCACTCTGAACTATCCCAATACCAAAGGGTATGTAAGTTTCAAGAAAGCCCATGTAAAAGAACATAGGTTACATGGCTGCCTTCTGGAGACAGAAGTGGCAGTTCCAGCACCCAACAGGAACTGTGGTTCTGAGGCAAATGTGAGACACACTGATCTCCTGAGCTCAGTGGAAGCTGGGCCCAGGCTCTGCAGAACTTTTGAGGTCTACTAGCCAGTCACATTTCTCTCTCTCTCTGAAGAATGCAAATCACTGATTTTTAAATGACACGTACAGTTCTGTAGATGTTGGCATTTGAGTTGTCATATTTTTATCTGTCGGTTTCTGTGTGATAAATGATGAAAAGTAATGCCTCTGTGTCCAGAACTATTTAAAAATATAGATGTTAGGAACATACAGGTCTCCCAGAGAGCTGACTCTCCTTTATGACCACAATGCTTTATATTTTTTAGGCAGAGTTTACTGCAACCTGGAACTGGTGACAAGAGAAATGTCCTGTCATTGGGATTCAGAGCCCCTGTGAAAGACATGATTAGCTGCAGGGGTTGACTTCCATGTTCTCCCTCTTCCCCTCTTACATTCCTTGCGCTTCTCCCATGATGTGCCTCTTCTCTGCCATTTCCTTCCGCAACTTCACCATCTCTCTCTGGATCTCCTCCTCTTCCTTCCTTGCCTTCAGGTCCTTCCTTCTATTCTCCTCCTGCACTAGCTGTTTAGCCTCAGACAGAGCTAATTTCTTCAGGGCCTTCTCTTGCCTCTGGAGCTCTAGCTCCTTCTGACGTTTTATGCGGTTTTCCTTGACCTGGAAAGGGAGAATACTGCAAAGGGTCAAAGCAGTTCCTCCTCTCTGGAGGCTTGAGGATGGTGTTAGGCTGAGAATGTGGGTCTTGAGCAAGTTCCAATTGAAAAGTATCCAAAACACACAATCTATCATCTCTATAATAAAAAAGAACTGGATAGGATTATGGTCTCTGACAGAGCAGAGAAGGGCTCAGGAGTTCTATTCAACAGAGTGGCATTCCACCAGTGTAAACTCAGTGTCTAGCTGTTGTGTCTTTTTTCCTGTCAGTCCTGATAAAGGAATCAAAATCTTAATGGATCTAGAAAAAATATGGTGGTTTAAGTAGCTATGAAATGACTGTATTTGCTATGCACATTCCTTTTGAGAAATGCACTAAACTGCTTGTGCCCATGATATGATGTAGCATGAGATTCCATGGGTTAATTATAAAACTCGTGCAGGAAATTACATTGTTTCCTCCCATCACTTTTAGGTGTGGGGCCTTTTCCTCACCTGCTTGTGCCTAAGCTCCATAGTAACTCGTGGATCCCTTGGTTTTTGTTTTTCCTTGAGGTCTTCAATCCGGAGGTCTTTCAGTATACCATGGTCCACCATTTCACTTTGTAAAAGATGGTGCAGAAAGTCTTGAACAGTAGTGCTCTCCAACTCCTGTTCCAGATAGCCACACAAGTCTGGAACAACAAATCCAAATCATCTTGAGCCCCTTTGAAATGCATAAACCCCACAACCTAGAGCCATCAAGCCTGAGTAATCAGAGATCCATTTCCCAGATTGTGATGAAAGCAGCCACAGTGTCTGCACTCAGTGTAGCTCCAAAAAGTCTAAAACAGTCTCCCATTCACTAATTTAAGAAGTAAGATTTTGCTACCTTTTCTGCCTTGATTGTGAAGATCTCAAACTATTGTACAAACAATTCTGAGTCAGGAAAATGGTAGCTCCATTTTATTTGTGGAGAAACTAGGGTGCACAGAGTTGAAAGGGCTTGCTTATGCAGTGACACAGCAAGTTGCTGCAAGAGCTAAGAAAAAAAGTCTAGGGCTCTATTAACCTAGGTTGTTCCAACTGCCTGGTAACAAAGAGGATTCCTGCTTTTCAAGCCTATTATCTCAGCAGCACGCCAGTCTGCCTGTCCAGCACAGCCTCCAAGGTCAGTTAGGAATGGTTTTGTGATGCTCTCACCATCAAACCGCTCATACTTCATAAAGCCAACCAGGGGCGCTTTAGAAGGATTAGAGTCTCCTGCAGACTCTCCAACAACCTCTTCTATGTCACTTGCCAGCTCCAGTCTCAGTTTGGAATTCATCCAATCATTGAGCAGCTCCTGGGCTACAGGGGACAGAAAGATGGATGGGTTTATTAGGATGGAAAGTATTGTTGTAAGCATACAATAGCAAGGCTCTGTCCCCTTGGAAGAATTGCATAACAAGCTGTTTTGTGCATTTGAAATGACTGCAGGGTGATATGTAAAGGAAAATGTAATTAGATCACTACTTCCCCTGATCCCTTCTTCTCAGTATACAAAAACCCTAGAAGGTGATTGTTTTTTTTAATTCCATCATATAATAATAACTGAGCCCTGGAATAAAAAGCCATAAGTCTTTTTTAGAGGAACGGGGCTATGACTTTTAGCTTTTTCATTTAATTCAAAGGCCTAACAAACCCTTGGAAGAAAAGTTCTTTTGTAAAAACTCTTCTTTCTAGTGTGAGAGACAAGGAAACACCCACGCCAAATCTCTGGTGCTGCAACTAAGCTATACAATAAAATAAAGGGGTACACAAGCAAATGTAATATCTATAGATATATATATCTATATCTATAGATATATATATAAATGCACAAAGTGGGGGGAAAAGACGGCGAGAGCGACAAAAATGTAATATTTTACCCCAATTTGCAATCTATCATTAGGCTGATTCATAAGCAATGCTGTTTATCTAATAACAGATGAAGCCAGCTTATCTTATTGGGACTGTGGCATTCTTTAAGAGAGCAATGCAGACTCATCATAGCTCATTTACACTTCCTTTGTCAGTATTTTTGGTAAACAGTTACTGCAGATGATAATCTTGGGTATTATAATTCTTGCTTCTAGCTAAAAGCTTTCAGGTTGTGCTTGACTACTCAGGAAAGATTATTAGGTGTAAAAGGATGATAAACAAAAACAAAGACAAACAAGAAACAAAGAAGTGCTAGGAAAGCATGTTCAAATTTCAGACGCTTGTCAGAAGTTAGCTCTATTTTTCAGGTACAGCACTGGATAACATACACAGAAATTATTGTCTAACAAAATGGATGTTTTTCTCTCTGCTTCTACTAGAACCTCAGAGTAGGACAAGTGAAACCGCTGACTCGGACATTAGTAGAATATAAATGCTTTCAAGGACCCTGCCTTTCCATCTGTTCTGTATGGCATCTCGCTGGCTTGAGTGCTGTAAAATAATTAGTCATGTGTAAAGATCCAAGTTGCTTCTAACGTTTCATGCTGCCTGTACAGCATCTGCATTTCCTTTACTTAGGACAGCAGAGATAATGGAAATCAGTTCCTTTTCGCTTGCAGGCATTTGTCACATTCAGGTTCATGATCCCGCATGGTTTGGGCTGTAGCTGCGATACAAAGAGTTTTTATTAAGGAAACTTTTCACTGGAATTCAAGAGAACAAATAAAATTACTCATAAATATTTTTAGTGCCAGAAGGAACTGCTGGGCCATCTTCTATGACCTACTATAACACAGGCCACAAAATGCCTTTCAGCTCCTTCTATAGTGAGGCCAATAACTTGCATTTGACTAAGGCATGGCTTCAAATGAAGACTGGACAGCTGCCTTTATTGGAAGTGTTGAAGAAATAAATGGAGGATCTACCATTTCCTTTAGTAGTTTGTTTCAGTAATTGTCTAACTTTAGTTGCAACATGTTGATTCTCATTGTGCCTTTCTCCACTAGGCTGAACAACTGAAATCTAACCAGGAGTATGAACTACTTCTTTTGGTCCTAGATTCAATAAAAGCCTATTTATTTAAAAAAAAACCCTAAAAAACAAAATCCACTGGGGAACATGTTGGAGCTGACAGGGTGCCTTTAACAGCTCATGCAGAAGCGAAGGGAGAAGAAGTGGGGGGGAAACTTAAACTCACCTTCTGCATAGGCCTCGTCATGATCCTGTAGCTGCTCTGTTGTTTCCAGATCCAACACAGGACCATGTAGACCTTTACGGTATGCTGACTTGTTAAGGGAAAAAGCTTCAGAAACAGCAAACTCAGAGGCTTGTTCCACTCTCTTTAAAATAAATAAAGGAGGCAAGAAACATTGTTCATGACCGATACATCCTCCTTTTCAAACATGATACATGCTAGATTCCGATTCTATGCTCCATGTTAGGGTACGCCTGCAGATTCCCACTAACTTCAGCAGGTGTCTGCATGAAGAAAGAGTTTATCTATACGTTATTATAATCTCATAACATCATGCTACCAAGTAGGTTTATAAAGCACTTAGGCTATCAAGACCTGTCTTTAGGTGCTTGCAACTTAAAAAAAATAAAATTTTGAATGTCAGTCAAGCTTTTGGGCACGCAGTATCAGAGATTTGATGTGCCCAGAAGTTTGTCTAACATATCTCCTAAATATACATTTGGTCCAATAAAAGATATTTCTAAAAACCCCTTGTTTCTCACCTATTTCCTGCACCGTTACAGCTACTATAACGCAACCCTACTACTAGTTAGAGGGAAATTTCTGAACTTTGTGTTCAATTCAGAAGTAACAGTAGGCTTCCTTGTGTGTGATGGGAGATAAACTTGGGCACATTTCATTTGGTTGCTTCTAAGATAAAGAATGGGAAAAAATGAGTTTTGATAAGACATTCATTCAATGTTTTTTGTGTCCTCAGATTTCTAAAAACGACTATTTTATCTCATAGCAGTGCTGCATCTTCCATTCTGAAAAAGGACAGGGGACTTTACAGATTGTACTAAAGGAATATTTCATCCATAATGCATCAAGCTAAACTGCAGACCCCTCTGCTTGAAAGGCCTTAAAAATGTAGCTTAGCATCTGACCTCATTTCTTTTAAACAATAATAAATGTCTAGATCTTGGTAAGATCTAGAATACTAAAATCAATTGATCAGCTTGAGAGGAACAAGCCCAAGTGCATTTCACTGTTGCAGCAAAGACCTCGAGTCTCCTACGCACTCAGAAGTGGGGCAGCCCTACCACAAACTACTGATACTGCTGGGAACCAAGATACGTTTACCAAACTGGTATTTGGGTAAGACACTAGGTTTAACGTGTATTCTTGCCAAAGGTATCACTGCATTTTTAACACTCACTAGCAGTCAAGACCTTGAAGATACATTTTGCATAAAAGAAGGTGCTTCCAGTAGCACAGAGACCCTGAGCTTCTTGCTAGACTAGGGGGGAGTACTGATCCTAAGGGAACAACATGATCTATCCACTCAACAGCATCACATCCTTCACTACCTAGGTGAACCTTAAAGGCCCTCTATCAGAATCATAACTGGTTTAGCCCAATACTAACAGGATCACAACACAAGGCAATATGGCCACCACAAGCAATCATTTTCTCTGGCAGCTTCACTTTTCTTACAGGCTTATTATCTTTGACTGGTTTAAGGATTCTAGTTCATAAATAAGTACTGTATTTACCCAAATCCAGGACAACTTCAACTTTAAGATGAAGTCCCCAATAATTAAATTCTGTACATGGAAAATGATAAATGTGTTATAATTTTCTATGTATAAAATCTAATTAATGGAAAGTCATCTTAAATTTGTACCCACCCTCCTCCCCCACTGCCGTGGCAGGGAAAACAGTGATGGGCGGCATGGGACGAGATTCCTGCTCCTTGCTCCCCTGCCCCCTGTACCACATGCCTCTGCCAGTCCTTCCCCTGTGTCTGCCATATACCCCCCACCACCTGCCCCTCCATGCCTGTGCCTGTCCCCTGCCCCTATGCCTTTATCTGCTCCCCCACTCTGCGTTCCCACCTCCTGCTCCTCCCTCTGGCCTGCCTCCCCCACCTCCCAGCCTGTGATTGACCCCTGTTGCCTACCCTCCCACACTTACCTTCTGCTGCAATAATGCTCCTCCATGGCAGTCAGCAGCAGTGTGGCCCTGGCCTGGCCACGGTTCAGCCCAGCCCAACCTGGCCAGGGAGAAGCAGTACCCAGCCAGGTGAGGTCAGGGCTGGAGGGACCAGAGCAGAAAGTAAGTGGGAAGGGAAACAGGGGGTGAGGGGGAAGGCATAAGCATGGGGGGCGGGCTGCAGGTTCTCTTTTCCCTGCATGCGCCCCTTGGCAGTGGGCCTCTTCCCTCGCCCAATGAACCATTCTGACCTGGGGCAGGTGGCAACTCAGCTTCAGCCCTGAGCCACTGCCTGCCCCAGTACAGTACTCAAATTCAAGAAAAGGCTTCCTCCCCACTCCCACCACCACTGATACTGATTGGGCAGGGGGTGGGCCTCATCTTGGATTTGAATAAATACACTAAAGTTAATCTTGGTGGTAGATTTTAGACATCTTCACTGGAGGCTTGACAAAGAGCCATCCATTTATGTTCCAGAAGCTACTAAGCAATTATCAACAGACACCAACTTTTTATCATAATTAAGGTGAACCAGATGCAAACTTAAGGATGAAGGACTTTCAGTCTCATTTTCAACCTGCTGATCCATGCCGTTCCCTGACTCCGGCATGTCCCTGTTTCATAAAGTCCTTTGTTCATGGGTTTACCTTGATCCAGTACTCCACACTGTCAGAATTGAACTTCGGCTAGAAAGAAGATACAAAACATGAATGTAAAAATATCTCTGCTTATATATTTTTTAAATCTTGGTTTAATGTGGTCAAGCCTAGGACCAGTCACTTGAGTCCCATGAAAGTTTTTGCTCTTTCGCCAGTGACATCAACACTCTAAGCTTCCTTTTCATTTCCAACTCAAATACTTCTGTGGTTCAGACAGGGGTTGGGAACTTAAGAGACATGGAGTCACCTCAAATATTACAAAGATTTCCTGTGTGACCTTGTGCAAGTTAACTGATTCTCCAAAGACTTAATGTTATGAGTAGGACTAGTCCACCTAACTTCAGTGACACCATTCATAGACACAAACTTTGCAGGATGGAAGTTCACATCTTTTTTTTTCTCAATTCCCTCTCTGCAAATAGAGATGCCATCCTCCCTTCCTCCCACCCCCACCTTTGTTTGCAGTCTATTTACACTAAAAACTCCTCAGGGCAGGGGATGCCTTTTTCCTAGGTATTCTCTACATGCATGTACATGACTAAGACACTGACTAAAGACTCCCTGTATACTATAATTCACATGTCAAATAGGCCTTATAAAGGTGCCGCTTCTGCTATTCTAGGGGAAAAAATATCAGCTTCCCCTACTTACAACACAAACCACAATTTCAAAAAGCCAATTTTGGAGGGAAAGGTGCACATGGCATGCAAGCAGATACAGTAACACCAAGAGTCTAGATTTGCCTGCCTGGTTTATAACCCCCCTGCCACCCTCCATTGCTGCAATTCAAGGCTGGAGCTGCTTTACTTATTCTTTTTTTTGTAATTTCGTGTCCCAGGTCAAATCAGCCAAATCAGTTCCAAAACCTATCAATTGAGCAGAACTTGGGAGTTCAAATTCACATGGTGCCACCACCAGCAAGTATCCTCCCTCTCAGGCTCATCAACCTGGGGTTTCAGGTAAGTCCAAAGCCATGGCACGCATCCTACAAGCAGGCCCAAGCCCAGAGGTCTTGGGGGTTCACATGTTCCTGAGTGTTGCTTGCCCTGAACCAATGGCCCAAAGGAGCAAGCTAGAGGGAAATCCCCCAGATCCATAGAATAGGTGTGTAGCCAAGACTGCTCATGGGGGGGGGGTGGGCTGGCTGCCTGCTTGCCTGCCTGCAGCACAAGGACAGGTCTCCACCCTATTCTCCATATAGACGTTCAGAGGTCAGGAAGAAGGGAATCTTTCTTTCTAATCATGGCAGGAAACCACCTGGACTGTTTTTTTTTTAATTAATATATTTTGTGTTCCTGGTCAAATCAGCCAAATCATATCGATTGAGCAGAACTCAATTGTTCCAAGAACCAGATCAATTCAGCAGGTGAAACTCAATTGTTCAAAACACCATATATGGCGCTACAACTGGGGAGCATCCTCCATCCCAGGCTCTCACCCTGGGACTTCAGATACTCTCAAACCCACTGGCGGGCATCCTATATGCAGATCCAAGCCTAGAGGTCTTGGGATTCGGATGCCTCCCCTGGATCACGGTATCTCCCCTGCCAGGCACCCACTCTTGCAACTAGCTCACGCCTCTCGCCTCTTGCTGTGGCTCCAGCTCTTGGAGCCCAGTGATGGCCAGCTCAGTGAGAGCTTTCCTAGCCTAACGGTAGACAAACTCTTGCATCCTCACTGCTACAGAACAAAGCTAAAGACTGCAGGCTCTCCAGCCAGCCTGAGCCATGCGGGGACCAGAAAGCAAAGGAGACACACCCCGGGGGGGGGGGAGTCATTG